GGGCTGCCTCCTCTCAGCACACAGGCCTCCACGTGGTAAGTGTAAGGTGCAAAATGTGGCTGGTAGCCCTGTGGGGCCTCATGACCAAGGCCAGTCACCTGTGCATCCCCAGGCCCCAGCCCTCAGCCGGGAAGGGTGGGACACAGCCCTTGGGTAGGCGTTTCCGTCTCGGCAGCTCAGCTGCGGACTGCAGGTGGCCAGGGGCCTCTGCTCTTACTCTGGCGCTGGGCAGAAGTCGGGGCCTGTCCACATTCGCCGGCCACCAGGACCCCAGGGAGAAGAGAGCACAGTCCATCTACACTCGCCGGCCACCAGGACCCCAGGGAGAAGAGAGCACGGTCCATCTACACTNGCCGGCCACCAGGACCCCAGGGAGAAGAGAGCACGGTCCATCTACACTCGCCGGCCACCAGGACCCCAGGGAGAAGAGAGCACGGTCAATCTACACTCGCCGGCCACCAGGTCCCCAGGGAGAAGAGAGCACGGTCCATCTACACTCGCTGGCCACCAGGACCCCAGGGAGAAGAGCACTGCAGAGACTCGTGCACCTGGCGCTGTTCCTCCTCTCCCGTGTGCTAGAGCCACTCGGCCACTTCCACACCCGTGTGGCTGAGCCACGTCCGGAGCCAGTGCAGCCTGCCTGGTTTTGGCTTCTTGACCCTTGGCTGCTTTGTCTCTTGGGCACCGCCTCCTGCCTGGAGCCCAATCCTGCCTAGATGGTGCCTCCTGACGCCTCGCACAGATACACCAGGTGTCATGCAGCCCTGCCGCCAGCCGCTGCTGCCGGGCCTGCTACGGCTTGGAGCAGCGGGGCCCCAAGGTGGAGCAAGGCCTCAAATGCCTTCGTGCCTGGGGCCCGCAGGATCAGCTCCAGCGCCGGGGGTGGCCAGGAAGGAGGGGGTAGGTGTCGCACCTGATGTCCTCACCTGGCCTCCCCACCTGTCCGAGAACTCAGTGTCAGCCTCAAACACGTTCACCAGCTGAACCAGACTTGCAAGAATTGGTGATTTTCTGTCTGCGTCAAGGGAGAGCATGGCCTGGCCTCTCCATGGGAGTCCAGGGGCTGAGACCTGAGACCAGGAAGACTCATGAGAAAGAGGAGCTCCCAGGTTGGAGCCGCCCCCACCTGGCACATGGTCCCTTGGGGCCTCGTGCTCACCCCTTGCTGTCTGGCACCACCCGCCAGGCCCAGCCCAGAGAAAGCCACCGAGGGTGCAGGCCTCACAGACTCATGGACGGCAGGCTCAGGCCGGCGCTGTGGGTGGCCACGCATCACGTGGACAATGCCGTAGGTGGTCAGGATGCACCTCGGATGGGGCAGCCGCCCTAGTCCCCGGGCCCAAGGGACAGCCTTGGGAGTCAGAGCAGGGACTTATGGACCCATGGCTCCTCGAGGGTCAAGGCCACCTTGCCAGAGGGTCCCTCTCCCATGAGATCCCAGCCGAGCGCTTCCTCCAAGCCGTGTCGAGTGTGGGTGGAGTAGCCTTGGGCCAGTCTGGCCATCAGGGTGGCTCCTTTGAGAGCCTGGCACATTCTGTGGCTCTGAGGCCGTGGCCACGATGGTCCCCACCTAGCATCGGGGACCAGATTTCCAGAGACAGTGCCAGATTTCCCTTTTAGGAAGCAGAATGTCCTCAGTGCAACTGGCTGGCCTGGAGTAGGATGTTCACACTGCAAATGCGCCTTCAGGCCCTAGAGGACACCTGATGAGGGACATTCCTGCTGCACCTGCACCTTCAGGCCCTGGAGGACGCCCGACCCCAGGACACTCCTGCTGCACCTGCCCCTTCAGGCCCTGGAGGACGCCCAACACGGGGACACTCCTGCTGCACCTGCCCCTTCAGGCCCTGGAGGACGCCCGACCCCGGGACATTCTTGCTGCACCTGCCCCTTCAGGCCCTGGAGGACTCCTGACCCAGGGACACTCCTGCTGCACCTGCTCCTTCAGGCCCTGGAGGATGCCGGACCCCGGGACATTCTTGCTGCACCTGCCCCTTCAGGCCCTGGAGGACTCACGATGTGGGGATATCCTTGGCCCCCGCCAGCCGCATTGGGTTCCACCATCCTCCAACAGTGCTCCCTGTGGGAAACACGGGTCCCAGGCATTGCTGTGCCCCCTTGAGGCAGGCCGCTCCCCAGGTGATATGGATGCCAGAGGCCTGCGCTCAGCCTTGGGCCCAGCTGGTCAAAGCTGGGTGCTGCCTGAGGTCCCTGAGCATAGATGCCCACGGCTGCAGGTCCATTCCATTCCTGGGAGCCCGAGAGAGCTGGGAGGCCACGACTGATTTATGCAGACCAGCAGCCAAGCCCCGTGGAGTGTCTCAAGGCCAGACCTGCCCTTCGGGAAAGGGTCCACGTGGCAGGGTTGGCCCAGGTTGGCAGCGTGGGGAGAGGCCCGTGGAAGCTCCGGGCATCAGAGGCGTGCGGGTCTCATTCCCATGAGGAGACCTTACCTCCCTGAACGCTGGTTCTTCTGGCATCTGTCACCTCCTCGGGGTGTTGTGACGCTGGCCAGAGGCTGCCGGGGCTTAGGCGCTCACAGCAGACCCGGGGTTTAGTCACCAAGGAGGCGACCCTGACCCGTCCCCTCCCAGGCACTAGTACAGAAACCCCTGGTCAGGCTGTTCTATGCTGTCTCCTGGGGCCTGTCCCGCTCCAGGGACAAAGCTCCCAGAAGCCCGAGCCTCGGCCCAGGGGTGTGGTGGGTTCCGTTCCAGCCCAGCAGGGAGGCAGGAGCTGTGTGTGGGACTCAGGCAGGCCTCCCATGTCGCGGGAGCATCCCCCTCCCTGGGTGGCCTCTCCCGCCCCCTCACGGCCCTGGCCTCTCCCACCCCCTCACGGCCCTGGCCTCTCCCGCCCCCTTCACGGCCCTGGCCTCTCCTGCCCCCTTCACGGCCCTGGCCTCTCCCGCCCCCTCATGGCCCTGGCCTCTCCGACCCCCTCCCTGGGTGGCCTCTCCCGCCCCCTCACGGCCCTGGCCTCTCCCGCCCCCTCACGGCCCTGGCCTCTCCAGTCCCTGGACTCTCATAGCCAGGAAGGCAGCAGGGAGGTAGTGTCCTCTGAGTCCTACAGCCATGAGCGAGGGCAGGTGCTCAGGGCCCAGTGACCACACTCGGTTCCCGGAGGGCCCCCTGGAGCCTGGCACTCCCTCATGGCTTGCCCGAGGCCTGGACCCTGGGTTGAATTGCAAAGGCTCGTGCAGGATGAGGCTGCATTTCAGTAAAACCTCCCCATCAAGGGACATCAGAGCCCACAAGCAGGTGCGAGGAGGGGAGGAAAGCTGGCCAGGCGCTGGGGACCACGGGAACCATGCCTTCCAGGCCCCCCGCTCATCCTCACAATCTGCCCCCATGTCCCCATCGGCCCTCCCGCCTGCCCCTCTCTGGCCGTGGCTCCAGGGTGCTGTGTGCCCAGCTCCAGGCCCATCCTGGGTCTGCCCTACTTGCTCCCCCCAGGCTGGGATGTCACTCCAGGCGATGGGCTCCCATCCTCCCAACACACAGTCCCCTGCTCCCACCTGCCTCAGACACCTTCACTGCTGGGCTGGGAACCGCAGTGAGAGGGCTCGATTCTCTCCAGGCTGCACTGTACAGGCCGGGGCCCCCATCTCCAGAAGATGAAGGGAAGGGCGGGGTGGTTCTGTCTGTCTTGCTCAGATGGAATGGGCCCCCTTGGAAGACACCAGCCTTCCCCAGAGGGCACTGGGGGCCTGTGGGAGGAGCACCTGTGGCTGGCCTGGCTCCCCTCACCACCGGCGTCAGCCAGACAGGCTCGGGACCCCCAGCTGCAGCCAGGCGTCTCCCCAGGGCCTCCCTCTCCGTGGCAGTGCCTGTGCCCACCCCACAGCTCTGCTTGTTTTCCAGGTGACCTGCAGATCGGGCTGCTGGACTTCCTCCTGTTCGGCAGCCTCATTGCCGCCGTGGACCCGGTGGCCGTCCTGGCCGTGTTTGAGGAGGTGCATGTCAACGAGGTCCTGTTCATCATCGTCTTTGGGGAGTCCCTGCTGAACGACGCAGTCACCGTGGTAAGCCACAGAACCGAGGCTCCACAGCAGCCGTGCAGGCCTGGGCCCCGTCTCGCCCCCCATCAGTCTGTCGGCAAAGGAGGGCGTGAAACCCTGGCCCCACACTCCCCTCCTGGGCGTCCCGTCCCTCCACGTCCCTCTTCCCAGCTCAGAACCATGGGCGGCTTTCACGCGGCTTCTTTGGATCTTTCGCAGTTCTGAGGCCCGGTCCGCCCATCCACACTTTCAGGGTTAACGATGCCGCTGTCAAAACCCTACCCTCCCAGACTCCGGAGCGGGGGGTCTGTGAGTTTAGACTCACAGTTGCTACCACCCATTCCTGAGTTCCTAAAAAATACATGAATGGCCAGGCACGGTGGGTCACACCTGTAATCCTAGCACTTGGAGAGGCTGAGGCAGGTGGATCACTTGAGGTCAGCAGTGTGAGACCAGCCTGGCCCACGTGGTGAAACCCTGTCTTTACTAAAAATGCAAAAACTAGCTGAGTGTGGTGGCATGTACCTGTAATCTCAGCTGCTCGGGAGGCTGAGACAGGAGAATCGCCTGAACCTGGGAGGTGGAGGCTGCAGTGGGTGGAGATTGCCTGTACGGAGGGCAGGAGTGAGACTCCATCTCAGAAACACAGATACATACGTGAATACGCCAACAACAAAATCTCACAGGAACTGTGTCACCTGCCAGGGCCACCATGACGAAGTTGACTGGGTGCAGTGCCTTGAACGTTGATTCTCGAACAGTTCTGATCACGGTGTCGGTGGGGTGGATTCCCAAGGGACCCCTGTTCTGGGCTTGCAGATGGCGCCTTCCGTGGCCTCACGTGGCTGTCCCTGCATGAATGTGCCCTAATCTCCTCCCCCCACAGGGACACTGGTCCTATGGGATCAGAGTCCATGCCGGTGACCTCACTGTGCTGTGCGCCCCTCTTTAAAGACCCTGCCCCCCAACACATACTCACATGCTGAGGTCCTGGGGGCTGGGACTTTAACATGGGGATTTTGGGGGCACAATTTGGCCCATAAAGGAGTGAAGGAAGGGAAATGGAGCTGGTGCTGACAGCTGGCCACAGGCATTGTGTGGATTTCTCTCCAGGAGATGGCGTTCCAGCAGCTTGCGGGGCTCCGCGGGTGGGCAGGGTTGGACGGAGCCCCCATGGAGGCCCAGAGGCCACATCAGTGCTAAGTAAGGCCAGGAGAAGAGTCACAAACCCCAAGAAGCAGGATTGCCACTTCACAGCAGCAATTGTGATGTTTCAAAGCTAATCCCCAAATGGGATGGCTGCCTTCGGGAAGTGAGTCATGGGCAACCCTCTCAGGAATCGTCAGTGAGGCCAACGCTGGGCCCGGTCCTCAGGCCGCCCCTGCCCCGACGCTGCCCCGGTCCCTGTGCTGCCCCTGGCCATCCTCCGCCAGCCCTGAGGACCCTGCAGATGCAGCCAGAATGGTGGGGTCCGTTTCCTCTCCCCTCTAACAGTGTCTGTGGCTTCTCAAAAGACCCCATCTGCTTCTCATGTTTCCTTAGGGTTCAGGAAAGTCCTATGGGGGTAGCACACCAGATTTCTTCTCTTTAGCAAATGAGGTATTCTCAGGGAATCTGAAAAGTGAGACTTAATCAGAAATACAGCGACATCCCCGTGTAACTGCAGCCCTGCAGCTCCCACGTCCCCATAGAAGCCAGAGCCCCCCAAGAGGTTGTTTTCCCTCCCAGCTAGATTTTCATTAAAAAACCCAGCTCCAAGAAGGCCCCGAGAGACCCCAGGACCTTCTCGGGTCCCCTAGCCCAGCCTACATTCACAAACACAACTCACACGCCTGCCCCAGGGGGTCCTCTCCCACCTTGACCAGAGCCAGGTTCTCCCCAGGGACTTCGGTCCACCCAGGACAGCCCTCAGCAGGTCCCACTGCATTGCAGCTTTGCTCGGTGTGGAGCCCAGAGTATGGACAAGGTTTCCCCGCATTTTATCTCAGGGTCCTGTGGGCTAAGGTTTAAAAACCACGAAGGTTAGCAAAGACCGCAGGGGCTCAGCCTCACAACCTGGAGCCAGCGCAGCAGGGACGTCGCTAAAACCCTGGGCTTGTCTCTGTAAATGAGACTGAGTGTGGTGTCTGAATTCCAGGGAGAGAGCTCTGCCGCTGCCGCTGTTCTGCCAAGGGTGGGAAGAGGCCAGCTTTGCTCCCAAAGCTTCTAGTTCCCTCCAGAACCTTCTTTGCCCCGGTGTCCCCGGACCGCTGGGCTCTGGCCTCGCCCCTTCGACTGCCATAGCTCCGTGATTATTTTCCTCCTGGTGGCCTCGGTTCCCGTGGGCTCCACACTCGGGCCAACTCGGGCGAGGCCTGGGCCCTGGGGAGGGGCGGCGCTGACCAGGGGCCTGAATGCCCTTCTCGTCTCTGTCCCGCAGGTCCTGTACAACGTGTTTGAATCCTTTGTGTCGCTGGGGGGTGACAACGTGACCGGCGTGGACTGTGTGAAAGGCATAGGTTCGTAGCTGTGGGTCAAGGAGGGCGGGCGGCCGCGTCTCCTCTCCACGCCTGGCCGGCAGCCCCTGCAGGAAAACACTTTTCACTCAAAGCGGCTGCACTGAGCCCTTCTGTCCACGTCCCCTTCCAGAGCGATTCACACACGAGTTGACAGGGGCCTGGGGCTCCTGGGCATTTCCCAGAGCAGGGATGAGGGCAGCCAGGTCTCCACATGAGAGACGGCCGGACAGGGCCTGGGCCAGGCTCCTGGGGACTCGGGAAGGTCCTCTCCCCTTGCTGGACCAAGGCTGGTGCTGAGACCAGCCCCCCTCCCTGCCAAGAGAGTGAGGAATCCACCCCTTGTTTCTGGGGTTCCCAGCACCTCCTCAGGGGTCATGGGCGGCCGCTGGCGAGGAAGGGCCCGGAAGGCAGCACGGACACAAAGGGCGTCCTCTCCCCAGTGTCCTTCTTCGTGGTGAGCCTGGGGGGCACGCTGGTGGGGGTGATCTTCGCCTTCCTGCTGTCACTGGTGACGCGCTTCACCAAGCACGTGCGCATCATCGAGCCCGGCTTCGTGTTCGTCATCTCCTACCTGTCCTACCTGACGTCTGAGATGCTGTCGCTGTCGGCCATCCTGGCGTGAGTCCCTCCTGCCCTCCCGGGCCCCACACCCTCCTGGACCCCAACACACAAGGACGGTGCTAGCTGGGGGCCACCCAGCTGCGTGTGGCAGGACCCCTGGGCTCTGCATTGCCCACAAGTTCCCTGTGAGCCCCGCAAGGGGATATGGAGGGCCTGCCCTGCCCGCTGCCCCGTTGCCTGCTTCGCTCTGCTGGTGCTCCCAGGCTGGTGGGAATTCAGTGTGGGGCTAAGAATTTATTCACATTTTATCATAAGGAGTTTGTGTTTTCACTGAATTGTCTGTGAGCTGGGAGCAGCGTCTGTGAGACGGCTGAGGGGCAAGGGGCTCCGGAACCCTTTGTTGCCATCCCTGCTGGTGGCAGCCCTGGTGCCTCGTACTCACCCGAAGGTGACGGCCGCCTGTGACCCTGCAGGGCCGTAGGCAGGAACCCTGGCAGCCCAGCCTGGCTCGGGAGGGAAAGGCCCCATAACCACACGACCGTGACTCTGTGCCTGCAGGTGCCAGGCCGTGGGGGGTGGGCGACATGGGGGCCTTGGGCACTGGGCCACTTGTCCGTGCCCTGAGGCGCGTCTGTCTGTAGGATCACCTTCTGCGGCATCTGCTGTCAGAAGTATGTGAAGGCCAACATCTCGGAGCAGTCGGCCACGACCGTGCGCTACACCATGAAGATGCTGGCCAGCGGCGCCGAGACCATCATCTTCATGTTCCTGGGCATCTCGGCCGTGAACCCGTTCATCTGGACCTGGAACACGGCCTTTGTGCTCCTGACACTGGTCTTCATCTCCGTGTACCGGGCCATCGGTGAGGCGGGGCCGGGCTGTGGATGTGAGGCTGCGATGGGCCGGCCCCACCCTGGGAAGGCGCAGGCTTTCTACTGGGCCCATGGAGATGGAGGCGCAGCCCTGTGCGAGGCAGAGGAGGGGACCCGAGGCAGGGCACCTGGTGGCAGCCTTGGGGCTGGGGTGGAAGGCTCTGGAACCCCAAGGGAGCTTACTCGGTTCCCGCTGACTCACCCAGGACATGCCTAGGACAGGGTCAGTGGGATGGGAGATGGACCGGGAGACAAGAAGACCCCGCCCCCACCCAGCCCCGTACCCCGGCACCTGCGTGTGTGATGCACAGAGCATGTGGGAAGACGCCTGGCCACATGTGGCTCCGTGGATGGTGATGTGGGTCGTGGCGTGGGGACGCCGTATCCAGGTGTCGCTGTTCTCTGTCAGCACGTGCTTGCCCACAAAGGCCCCGCAGGGCAGGTGGGCGGCTGGGGAGCTGAGTGCCCACCCGGTCCACAGGTGTGGTCCTGCAGACGTGGCTCCTGAACCGCTACCGCATGGTGCAGCTGGAGCCCATCGACCAGGTGGTCCTGTCCTACGGGGGCCTGCGTGGGGCCGTGGCCTTTGCCCTAGTGGTGCTTCTGGACGGAGAGAAGGTCAAGGAGAAGAACCTGTTCGTCAGCACCACCATCATCGTGGTCTTCTTCACCGTCATCTTCCAGGTGAGGCCCAGCCCCGCCCGCCCTGGGGTCTCTGCCCCACCCGCGAGAGGCAGATGAGTGTTTCCAGGCTCCAGATCCTAATTGGGTTTTATAATTTTAGTAACTAGGAGCTGTTTTGGAGGTTTTCATGTGGCCCCACTGGGGAGGAAGCATAATTGGCCTAAAAATGTTCTTCCTGAGCCTTCGCTGGTGGATGAGGCTGGCTTCCTCCTCCGCAGAGCAGGGCTGCAGGTGGCCAGGTGCCAGGAGAGCAGGGAGGGCATCCACAGGCCCTGGGGCAAGCAGCTCTGTGCAGTGCACATGGCGGGGCCAGCGGGAAGTGGGGGGCTGCCTGGCACCAGGGTCACGAGACACGGTCCTCCAGGGCCTGACCATCAAGCCCCTGGTGCAGTGGCTGAAGGTGAAGAGGAGTGAGCACCGTGAACCCCGACTCAATGAGAAGCTGCACGGCCGCGTACGTCTAGGGCTGGGGGGAGGGCGCTGAGTGCTCCTCGGGGCTGGGGGGGGGCGGTGAGGGGGCACCACGTGTTCCGCGAGGCTGGTCTGGGAGGGGAGGGGGCACCACGTGTTCCGCGAGGCTGGGGGGGCGGTGAGGGGGCACCACGTGTTCCGCGAGGCTGGGCTGGGAGGGGTGGGGAGGCTTCGTCTGGGCCTGGGAGGGGAGGGGAATGTCACATGTTCCCCCGTCGGCTGCCCCGAGACGTTCACGTCTTTCTTCCCTTGGAAGGCTTTCGACCACATCCTCTCAGCCATCGAGGACATATCTGGACAGATCGGGCACAATTATCTCAGAGACAAGTAAGTGGCTGGGGCTGCCCCAGCTGTGCTGCACCGCACAGCCCGGCTTCCAGAAACATCCTCTGCTCGAAAGAGCCGGAAGCCACTTGCATAACTGTCTGCATCCAGGCTGGCTCCGGTGCCCCATGAGGCCAGGTGCCAGGTGTGCCCCCGGACACGCAGGTGCTGCCGAAAAGGGAGCCACATGCCCTTTGCTCCTGGGAGTAGAGACACCCTTGCATGTGTGCCAACTAATTCCAAATTGTTATGTAGGAATTGAAAACAGGGAAAATAGATTATTTTCTCCATGTCATAAACAGGGTGTGTTCATATCAGTCAACATTTAAAATGATTTTGTCTAGTGGGGCTCACACCTGTAGTCCCAGTACTTTGGGAGGCCCAGGCAGACAGATCACTTCAGGTCAGGAGTTTGAGACCAGCCTGCCCAGCATAGTGAAACCTGTCTCTACTAAAATTACAAAAATTAGCCAGGGGTGGTGGTAGGTGCCAGTAATCCCAGCTACTCAGGAGGCTGAGGCATGAGAGTCGCTTGAACCCAGGAGGTGGAGGCTGTATTGGGCCGAGATCATGCCTTTGCACTCCAGCCTGGGCGACAGAGAGAGACTCTGTCTCAAAATAAAAAAAGATTTTGTCCATTAAGCTGAAATCACCTGTTTTATTATAAAATACATTTGACATTTAAAATCATAATAAACCCAGAACACAGCACAATTTGCCCTTGGTTCCTGTTTTCCAAACAATCTGTGTTCGGTGGGAGTGGAAGCATCCAGACGGTGTGGCCACGTGGCTTCATAAAGTGCAGCTGTGGTTCTCCATGGCCACAGCGATTCTGCCCCAGGTACCCAGTCCCCAACTCCCTGGCCTCCCAGGGGCCGTCCGGGGGTCTCGGAAGGCACGGCCTCCGTAAGCTTTGACTTCTTGATGGGTGAGACTCGACCTGCACTGAGCAGCCACCATGGCTGCCACGGGGCCTGCCCAGGTGTGAGCACGGAAGCTCGCCAGGGCCCACCTCTGCCCCGGGGGCCAGGTCTGGCAGCTGCACCCATGTCTAGGAGTGACAGGCTTCACCTCTTTGTGCCCCAGTTTCCTCTAAGTCCGGCCGGGCCACTGTCCCTTCTGCCTCGGAAAACCAATGAATACTGTTAGGCTAGAGAACCTCACTCTGATCCGCTTGGCTCTGGCAAGCTGAAAAGCTCAGGGCGTCTGCCCACCCCTGCCTTTCCTCCTATCCAACTGAAATGTTCCCCCATGTGGCCGGAGCCCCTTTGCCCAACCAGGCCTGATGCCCACCCTGTCCTGAGCCCCCCTCTGGAGACAGTGGCTGCTGGAAAGTGGAATGCACCGTTTCATTCTGATGGCCTCCATCAAACAAGACAGGCGGGTGGGCAGCGGAACAGCCTGGGTGCCTGGCGGGCTGCTCTCCTTTTAAATGCGCCTCAGGGTCCTTACACTAAATAAAATTCAGAGAAGGGCCACCTGGCAAGCTCCAGGGCGCCTGCGGCCTGGGGCTCACGCTGTGGGGTCTGTCCCTGCAGGTTCCAGGGCGCCTGCGGCCTGGGGCTCACGCTGTGGGGTCTGTCCCTGCAGGTGGTCCCACTTCGACAGGAAGTTCCTCAGCCGGGTCCTCATGAGACGGTCGGCCCAGAAGTCTCGAGACCGGATCCTGAATGTCTTCCACGAGCTGAACCTGAAGGACGCCATCAGCTACGTGGCCGAGGTCCCGGAGCCACCACTCCCTCTGTCGGGTGGGGGCTGAAGCAGGCTCAGACACTGGCTGTGGGCACCACGGGGCAGTGAGGAGAGGCCCCTGCACCTGATCCCAAGGCCAGGCCCACCCCAAAAGTTCACAGGAGGATCCTGGGCCCTCTGATGCCCTGGAAATCCCAGCTGGCTCTCACAAGGGGTAAACCATGTCACAGAGGGACAGAGGCCTGTGGACGGTGGTGCTGGTGGGCTCAGGGCTGAGGCCAGGTCCTCCAACCCTGAGGTTTGCACTTTCCCCGGAGATGGAAGCAGACAGGAAGCAGGCAGGCTGTTACAGGACCTGGCTCCAACATATCCGGGCACACCCAAGCACACACACACACACACACACACACGCCCACATGCAAACACATGCCCAAAAGCACACACCAACACGCACATACACGTGCACCCACAGGCCCACATGCAGACACATGTCCAAGCACCAACACACATGCACACACCCGCAGGCCCACATGCACACACGTGCCCACACACAGATGCTCACATGCACGCACACACACACAAACATGCCCACACCCAAATATCTGCATGTGCACATGCACGCGCCCACAGGCCCACATGTATGCACATGTCCACAGGCCAAACATGCACACACATGCCCACACACACAAACACATACCCACACACAAACATCCACACCCATACACGTGCCCACAGGCCCACACTCATACAGGTGCTCACAGGCACACACGCACATACATGTCCAAAGACCCCACACACATGCCCTCATGCACACACATGCCCACGCACACCCAGGCACACACCCATAGGTCCACACGCACACATGCCTGTATGCCCACGTGCACACACATGCCCACACACACGCCCACAGACCCACATGCACACACACCCACACTCATGAATGCACCCTCATGCACACACATGCCGCATACATGCACAAAGGCCCACACACGCCCATGCCCACATGCACCCACTGGCCCCCACACACACACATGCCCACAGCATGCATGTGCCCACAGGCCCACATACACGTGCCCCACACTCACATAACCCCACACACACGTGCGCCCACAGGCACACACGCACCCACAGGCCCACACAAATGCACAGGAACATACACACCCATAGGCCCACATGCACACATAGGGCTCCCTACACACATGCCCACACACACACGTGCCCACCCACGGGCACATGCTCACATGCCCACACACACATGCCTAAATGCACATACGTGCCCACATGTACACGCACACCCACAGGCCCACATGCAGGCACATGGAGGGGCAGCAGCAGGGTTTCCTGCCATGGGCGGGCTGTGGCTCTGAGGCTGCCCCAGCAGCTCCTGGTCCACGGGGCGCAGGCCTCTTGGCGTCTGCAGCGCCCCTGCCTGCTCCAGGAGACAAGGCCCCAGGCGCCCCACCCAGCCCCACGACCACTGGTCACTGGCTCCTGCTCCTGCCCAGAATGGCCTCAGCCTCCCAGGCCTGCCCTGGCCTCCCCAGAGGGGCTCTGGCTGCAGGAACTGTGCAGAGCAGGGCCTGAGGGCACAGCTGCAGGGACTCTGCTCCCTTTAGGTCCCGCTCCGCCTGAGGGACAGAGCCCTCCCTATGAAGCTCTGGTGCCCTTGTCCCGCAGCCAGTTGGGGCTGGTGCTCTCGCCAGAGGGAACGGGCTGTCTTGCCAAAACCTCACACAGAGGGCCAGCGGGGGCCTGGAAATACCATTCATTCAGACAGAATGATTCTGCCTCCACTGGGGCACATTCACCCCAGACATACCACCCATGGCCAGGGCCACGCCGAGTGGCAAGGCGGCTCCTGGCAGGGGCACGGGGGCCTGGGCCAGTGCAGATCAGGAAGGAGGGCCCCTGGGCCAGGCTCCATACAACACCCCAAACTACAGGCCCAGCAAGCAAGAGCAAGTTGAGATACCCTGGCCTAGGAGGCCTGGAGCCTGGCTGGAGGGTGGGAAGGGGCAGCGGGCTCCCCTCACCCCCACATGGGTGACAAGGTCAGCAGGCAGGGCCTTGAGCCTCTTCCCCAACCCCACCAGCCACCGTCCTTGACCCTGGGCTCCGCTGCGTGGGGAGCCTGTGGGCCCCTCCTGGTCACTCAATGGCCGGAGTCTCCCCACCTGGGATGGCGTGGCCAGAGCACCACCTGCCCAGTGTCCCTCCTGGCTCCCACACAGGGCAGCCGCTTTCTCTCCCAGCGCCCGCCACCCTGCACCCTGCAGCCCTCCCCTGTGTCTGCCCAGAGCTGCAGTTAGACCGTGGCCCCTCCACTCATGTTTGTCTTCACGGAGTCGGTGGGAGGGGAACAGAGGTACAGAAGATGCTGGATTTAGAAGCAAAAGCCGACAGAGGATCCTCAGAACCAACGCCCCTCGCAGGCCCCAGGGTGGGCAGTGCAGTGGGGGCCATGTCCGCAGTGGGAGTAGAGGCACCTCCTGCCCCTGGAGGCTTTTCTGGGAGGGTTCTGCCACTGCAAGGCAGCACGGGTGCCCACCTGGCGAGGAGGGAGCACAGCGAGCTGACACTCCCCATGCCCGTGCCTCTGCTGGCCCTGGGGACCCTGATTCCAGCCATAAGCCCACCCTGCCCTGTGCTCTCCCACAGCCTCACACTCTGCAAGCCCTGCCGTAGGGCAGGCGGGCGGGGCTGAGGACGCTCGGCTGTGCAGCTTCTGTACCCCATTGGGCTCTGCTCCATTCCCTTGATCTGATTCAGTTCTGGACATGGCGCCAATGGGGTCCCTTCCTGGGGGAAATGGGGGCAGGTGTTTCAGGGCCTCCGGCAGGGACAGGGACTCCTCTGTAACTCAGCAGTATAGACAGTGTCCCCAGATGCACCCCAGGTCCCAGACAGCTTCACCACTTCACACACAGACCGCCATGTCCTCCCTCAACTGTTACCTCTGCCCAGCTCAGGCAGAAGCCTGGCTATGCCTCACATGGACATGGACGGGGGCTCAAAATCTGAGCTCCTGGTCTCAGGGTCTCCACCCGCCGCAGTTGTGAGGGGTGAACCAAGGCTCCGTCTCAAGGTCTTCCCTGGGCCCCGAGCTCCCAGCGCTTCCCACCAGGGCACACATCAGCGGCAGCTGCCCAGGTACGGGGCCCAGGGCTGCTCAAGCCGCTGACGGGGCTGCCTCCTGACCACAGGGAGAGCGCCGGGGGTCCCTGGCCTTCATCCGCTCCCCCAGCACTGACAACATGGTCAACGTGGACTTCACACCGCGATCATCCACCGTGGAGGCCTCTGTCTCCTACCTCCTGTACGTGGACAGGTTCACATAGCTTCCCCGGGGAAGAACCAAGCCTGGGGCTGAGTCACAGAGGGTCTGAGACAGCTCCTGGCCTGGGGATGGCGGGCGGGTGGGAGGAAGGGTGCAGAAGGTGGGGCCCAGGGTCCTCTCTGGCAGGCACTCCCCTCCCCTGTGTTAGGTGTTGGCCAGACTCCCTCAGTGCAGGATGCAAGATGAAAGGGTGGGGGCACAGAGGATTGGGGGCCGAGCCTGACATGTTTGCCCCCAGTCAGGAGCAGGCTGTCCTGTTCCCTGTGCCACCCCTACTGTCCCTCTAGCCCTGGGCTCCACAGCTCATGGCCAGTTGTCACGGGAGGTCCCCTCTGCCAGGTGTGCAGACGCTGGTGTCCCGGGTCTCATACCCATGGCTTCGGAGTGGGGGCTCCACTTCAGATGGGACTCCGGGAGGGCCTCGTGGGGACTCGGCCTGAGCCCTGAGGAGAGAAGGGGCTGGCCAAGTGGCTTCCATAAGGCGAGGGGCACGCACGAAACCCCACCCCGAGGCAGCCGTGTGGCTCAGCGCTGTCCCTGCACAGGAGGGAGAACGTCAGTGCCGTCTGCCTGGACATGCAGTCTCTGGAACAGCGGCGACGGAGCATCCGGGACGCGGAGGACATGGTCACGCACCACACGCTGCAGCAGTACCTGTACAAGCCGCGGCAGGAGGTAGGTGCTGCAGGCTGGGGCCGGGGGAGCCTACAGGGATGCCTGTGGGGCGGCCTCCTGGTCCTCTCCCGGGACCATGGGGATCCGTGCTCAGCCCCTGCAGCAAGAGGGCAGGAGTGCCCAGCACACGCCCAGCACAGCTGTGACCTCCGTGCCCGACCTTGCAGTACAAGCATCTGTACAGCCGGCACGAGCTCACGCCCACTGAGGACGAGAAGCAGGACCGGGAAATCTTCCACAGGACCATGCGGAAGCGCCTGGAGTCCTTCAAGTCGGCCAAGCTGGGGCTCAACCAGAACAAGAAGGCAGCCAAGATGTACAAGCGGGAGCGTGCCCAGAAGCGGGTGAGGGTGGGCCACCAGGAGACATGGGGGGACGGGGCCTGAGCAGGAGCGGGGTCAGGGCCAGTGCAGCCGTGTTGGGGTCCGTCAACAGCTTCACGTTCACTCTGCAGAGAAATAGCAGCATCCCCAACGGGAAGCTGCCCACAGAGATCCCCGTGCAGAATTTCGCCATCAAGGAGAAAGGTGTGCTAACGGCTAAGGGCCACCTCCGAGGCCCCGCCCTCCCCTCGGGACCCTCCCAGCTGCTGCCCCTCCAGCCACACAGGCAGGGGAGGCACAGTCAGACCCACCCAGGATGGGGCTCCAGCCGCATTGCCCTACAAGCGGGGTCCCTCCTCGCCCTCCCCTGGCCCTGCAGTCCAGCCTTCCTCTCTGGACCCTCCCCCGGCCCTGCGGTCCAGCCTTCCTCTCTGGGTCCTCCCCCGGCCCTGCGGTCCAGCCTTCCTCTCTGGGTCCTCCCCCGGCCCTGCGGTCCAGCCTTCCTCTCTGTGGGTCCCAACCCCCTGCACCGAAGTGCACAGAGCTGATGGACACTGCGGACCAGTCTGTGAGGATGGCCCCCCAGTGACCCCAGTCCTCACCCCAGCCTGTCTCCCTCATGCCCCCCAGACTTGGAACTTTCAGACACCGAGGAGCCCCCCAACTATGATGAGATGAGCGGGGGGATCGAGTTCCTGGCTGGTGTCACCAAGGACACAGCATCCGACTCTCCTGCAGGTGGGGACAGGGTGGGGACGTCGTGGCCAAGGGACGGGTGGCCCCTGCTGCCCCAGAAGGGAGCTCTGTCATTGGACCAGGGACACTGTAACCTGGGGGGGGTGCCCCTGTGAGTTCTTGAGGGCCCTGCCTGGCACTCACTGAGTGCCCCCTCAACCAACTCAAACAATGCTGTCCCCAGAGTGGGCTGGGTGAGGAGCAGGCTGGGTGTGTCTTGAGGGAAGGGAGGTGTTACCCGTGCTGCCTGTGGTGTGCGGGGTCATGGATGTGGGGGAAGGGCCTGCAACCTGAAAGGCACGTGACCCTAACCTTCTGGGTGACCCTAGCCTTCTGGGTGTGCCTGACCTTCCCAGTGACCCTGACCTTCCAGGTGACCCTAATCTTCCAGATGGTCCTGACCTTCCCACTGACCCTGACCTTCCGGGTGACCCTGACTTTCAGGTTACCCTTTCGGGTGGCCCTAATCTTCCCGCTGACTCTAGCCTTCTGTGTGACCCAGACTTTCCTGATGATCCTAACCTCCCAGGTGACCCTAACCTTTCCTCTGACCCTAACCTTCCCAATTACCCTAATTTCCTGGGTGACCCTAACCTTCCTGCTTAACCTTCTGGATGACCCTGACCTTCTGGATGACTCTGACCTTCCTGTTGACCCTGACCTCCCGGGTGACCCTGACCTCCCGGGTGACCGTGACCTCCCGGGTGACCCTGACCTTCCCGCTGACCCTGACCTCCCGGGTGACCCTG